ACAAGCCAAACAATTTTTACTCGAGTGCACCTCCCATCCTCCCATTTAACTTTTGAATATTAAGAATAATGTCTAATCCACGTCAGTTATCGTTTTGGTACTAAACCTCTCAGACAAAAGTAGGAAAACCCCTGCCGCTTGGTTATTTTGGTCCCCTCTTTAGGAAATAATGGCAATTAATTGAACATTTCCCTCAAGAAATTTTACCAAACACGATCAAACACGTTGTGTACTGATCCGATCCCCGCTTCTTTCTTCTTCTTATCGAATTTGAACCATGCAGGAGCTTAAGCAAGAATGTCTTGAGTCGCACTTGAAGCAGTATAGTAGCAATATATCGTGATTTTTTTATGTCTTACCGATCATAGTTACTTACCTGACTATCGTTTTACTTCAGTTACTCAACCTCCAAAACTGTTTTTTGGCACAAAGAAATGATCTCCTAGTTTGGATTCGTATTCCTCAGCCCGTTATTTGCGCTCTGAGTTTTTCGAACTGGAAGTGTTTTACGCGCCTTAAATACTTGTAGCTACAATCCTAAGTGACTTTCCTAAACCACACTATTAATCCTTAGATTTGGGATTGATGTTTTCTTTTCTAGGGAGAAAAAGGAGGGGCAGGGATACCAGGACAAAATGGAAATGCTGGTGATAAGGTATTAGTTAAGGAATGTACTGCTTTTTAAAACTTTTAAGTTTCTTCTGGAAAATTAATAAGCTATAAGTAAAATTTTGCGTTCTTATCGAAAACCGAACTGAGTGTACCACTAAAGGCAAAACCATTGCATACTAGGTCAATACGTCGTCCAAACAAGCAAAGCACCCGGATAACACATAATTCTTCAGATGATACTCAGCCTCATTCAGTAATTGCTTTGTTATTCATTCAAAATAATTTATAGTCAAAAAACAAGTTAAAACATGCTTACCTCCATCGATGTTAAGTTTATCGTCGATAGTGCATGTTATTCGGCAAGTTTAGGAGATAAGGGTTGTTCAGCTCCGCAAATATTCTCCAAATAGCATATGTCGTCCGTCGAGTTGTTTTCTTGCTTTTCTTGCTATGTTTTTAACAGATAGTTCGCCTATTTATTCCTCGTAAAACGAGTGAAATGTTCCGCCATTTTTTGCTCAGGCGATTTGCTGCACGATTGACGTCATTTTTCACATGTCCCAAAATTCTTCCAAATTTGGTCCACAATAGCTGGTTATAAAAAATTATGCGTAGGATTTTGCTAATCAGAAACGGAGAAATATTTTGAATGAATAATAACATAAATTAGTAAAATCCAACTAGTGGTCTATTATCAATGCTGCGTTCTGATTGGTTGAGCTACTAATAGCATGTAATAGGTATATGTTATAGCCCACTAATAGCGAAAAGCGCCGGCTTTGAAAACTATGACAATGGCGGCTGAATCGCATTTTGCTAGCTAAAGTTGTTTTGTCTCGATATTTCTGACCAACTAGTTGGATTTTACTAAAACAATTATTCCTCTCGCCCTCATGGCCTCTGAGTCAAAAGCCCATGAGGCCGAAGGCCGATTTGGCTATTGCCTCAGAGCCCACTCTGGCTCGAGAAATGCGTCAAATAATTGTTAATTATTGCGCAGTCTATTATCGTGGAAGATCCATCAAAAAGAAGCAGTGCGCATATGAAAGAGGGATAACGAAGTGATGTTTTAACATTAGCAAAGAATTCAAAGTTTTTTTTTTTGCTTAAAACTGCTGATCTTAACTCCTAAAGTGTAGCTCCAAATTTATAAATTTACAATAGCAACATAACGTTTGACTTATATTTATTGAAAGCCACAGGTGGATTTGAAGAGTTGTTGTTAATGTCACGGAGTTTTGTGTTACTTTTCGCGCGTGACATTTTTTGACCTTAGATGTAGCCGATCACGTTTCGTACACGTGATCATGTGACACTTTGAACGGAGTAGTTTTTCGATTTAGAGAATTGTAATTTTGTGGAAGGCACGTGTATCGGTTTAGAAGCCCGTTACTTTTGTGGAACCCTATCGTTTTTGGCAAGTGTATCGGAATAGAAGCCCGTTACTGTAGAGATCTATTGGTTTCGAATAAAATCTATCACATTTGAAGAGCCGGATTTGGAGTCAGAACTAGCTGAATTATGCCTGGAAAACTAGCGAAGAACCTGAAAATACGTGCGGCGCATCGCTTACACGCAAGGAAAATTCTTTCATCAGTCGATGAACTTCTCATGGATTACGATGGGTCTGATACCACTAAAGACAAGATAAAACGGATAACTATTACACTCAATGAAAAATTAGCGACCTTAAAGACCTTGGACGAATCGATTTTGGCCGCAATCGACGAAGGAAATTTAGAACCAGAGATAGAGGAATCTGAAGAGTTTCGCGCGCGAATTCATGGCGCCCTTGTCAAGTTACAGAAATGTGAAAATTCTCATGGCAAACAAGAATCGCCTCAAGGAAGTCAAGGTGGGTCTGTTCCATCTAGTTCTAGTAACGGTG